AATTTGTAAGCCACAGGTTTACTCTGTTTACCTATTTATATGTGTACTCATTATGTCTGTCATGGTAAATGACCCATATGTTGGCACAGTTACTTAAAGAGCTATTGAGATGAGGGAGCCATGATAGAATGGTGCTCAGACCAGGCTGCCAGGGTTAAACAATTCCACTATAAAAGAGATGAGAATTTTCTTGAATTCCAACTTACAGTTGTCTGTAAAACCTCCAAATTATTGATACCACCTGTTCTCTCCCTCTCTCACATTTATTTGAGAAGTATTTTTTGGAAAATGTTAAAATGGCATATTAACCCATGAATTAGTCTCCAGAAATGAGGATTGTGTTGTCATAATTCTCTTCATAATTTTCAAAGATAGTGAACATGGGTGACACTGAACTTGAGGAAGGTATTTGAATCTTAATGCAGATTAAATCATCTTATGAAGTAGGAGTTGACTTTATAGCTATTCTAAAGAAAGCCAGACATACACCATTAACTCTATGGAAAACTGACAAAAGTGCTTGCAATTATTTATGAATGCTGCTGAACAGGTTTACGTGCAGAACTATGTATAAAATCTAAATAGATTAGTAGTGCCATTTGAGATCAGAGTTGTTGAGCATGAAGGTAAACACTCTGCTTTAAATGTCAAGAGTCCTATGGAGAAAGTAGAGGTATTGGAACTAACATTGGAGCAAGGCCATGGGTGAAATAGGTTAAACATATATATCTTTCTTACATGCTGAAAATCTGCCTCTTAAACTCTGGGCTCCCCATGTCACTTGCTGAGCCTGACCAGAGAGGGGTATCTCTCTTCAGTCTTATATCTCTTCTCTATACTTTTATAAAAGTTACAGGACCTCTTTAATTCCCATATTACATTTTTGTGTGTGTCTTTCTTAAGATAATTTTATTTTCACTTTCATTTTAATAATTTATAGACATTTCTTTAATGCTTTTCTGTGAACTTTCTTGAAGGCAATGAAAGTACCTAATCGTTTTTATATACAACGTAACACATACAGTTTTCCTTTGTATATAGTTGTTTTTAAGAAATTCAGTGAAAATGGGGGATGTATTCATAAAAGGTGGAAGAGATGTAATTGAGAAGATTTAGGAATTCCTTGGAGGTGCATCAGAGTTTATTCTAAAATTAATTTAAACATCTCATTGTGAGGAAAAGTATGCAATGATCACTGTAGTCACTAGAGTTTCGGTGGAGTCAAGGAGGTTTTGGTGATAGACTAATGTCTCTACTGAATAATTTTAAGGAAAAAAATACGGGAAGGTAAAGAATGAGATGAGGAATTTTGCTTTTACTTCACAGTTTCTGTCTTTGAAATTATAGCCATTACTAATTTCTCTCTGGTGACATTTGGTACCACGGCCGGTGTAGAAGAAACAATGCGATTTAATATTGCCATCACAATTACACAGGAAAAAGTCATCATAAGAGGCTGAAAAGACATCAGGTTAGAAAAGCTGGGTTTTCCACTTATGGCTTATATCAAATACATTTCCTGAGCCTCAGTATCTTCATCTGCAAAGTGATACAAATTAGATATCCTTTACTAAGATACTAAGGAAATACACGTTTTAAAGACTTTGCTACCAAGTTGTGTTAAGAGTGAAAGATGAATATGACTGCAAGCCTAGATAAAATTAGATTGACTCTAAATTTTCTTAGCTATATATAACTCACCTCACAAAATGATAATAGTAATGTCAAATCTTTTACTAAACCTGAATACGTTGTATGTAATATATTTGGTGGATTTTACTGCTAACCCCATGATTTCAAATTGAATACAGTAAATGTATATAAAATGTAATAGGTTAACACAAGTTTTAAAATTAAAAATAAACAATATACATTTTCCTTGGTTATAACTTACCTTTTTATAATCAGGGATAATATAACATAGATTTATAATATTCAAGATTCATTATAAATTGTTTTAATCCAGATAGTGTTAAAGGTTTTTTTTTTTTTTTTTCAGTTTTTACCATACTAAAGTATTATGGGTAAAATTATATAGTGACTAGAATTTGTTTTAAACTAATTTAATGGGAAACAAGGGTAATTTGGTTCATTTAGATAATAGATAAAACAAAATTGGCCAGTTGTTTAAATATGTTGAGGCCAGGTGGGGGGGTTGATGAATTTAAGTACATTATTCTCTGCTACTTGTGGTTTTGAAAATGTTTATAATAAAAATTTGAAATAAGATATAATTAGATTTGACTTCCGGATGATTTTTGGTAGCACTATCTGGGAAGGTGTGTTTCTCATCCGAAAGAATAGACGTTTACAAGAGTCAGTTAAAGCCTGCCCACTATGAAGTTAAGTGGGGCTGATCAAAATTTATAAAATGGAAAAGTCTTGAATAAGGTAGAGGTGTCTGAAATATGTCAGCATATGTGACTCAATGGTGAGTTAGGGAGATTTAGTAGTACTAGCAGAAGGAAGAAGGAAGCTGATGGGGAAGGTGCAACAGCAATAAGCACTGGAGCAAGATGAATAAGCAGCAGTAATGCTAGTAGTAATAAGATATACTGATGTGGGCAAAGGAAATCTGCCAGTCTTCCACAACAAATGTAAAAATGAAGACAGACATATAATAAGAAACATGCATTAGAGTTTTGTTTTAAACAAATCAGAATAGAATTTTAGAACAGCAAGATATTTCAAAACCCAGATGACAAAGAAATGCATAGAATCTTGCATCTAGTATCCCAAAGTAGCAAATTAATGCCTTGGTGAAATGAAATTAACTAATACCTCAAAAGAGATTCCCATTTAGCTGTTTGTTCAGGAACATCTTTAGGAGCACTACATGCTTAGTGTAACTGTTTCATAAATTTCAAAATTTTTTCTTCACATTGTAAATGTAGTAATATATTTTTCACTAGAAAAAATATAACACCTTATTATCATAAGCCAAATCTCATACACCTAGAAAATGATGAAACCAGGATTTATATCCACTTATTGCAATGTGTTCACTCTCACTTATGATAGTTTAGTTGATTAGAGATTCTGAAAAAAAATTCTAAAATTATGTGCTTAAAAAGAGAACTCTTGAATAACAACATATTAGTTCCCAAGTTTACGGGAAAGATTAGTCTGCCTGCCATAGAAAAGCAAAACTTCCACATATTTAAAAAGACTGAAATAATGTAAAATATGTTAGAAATCAATTATATTAAATACCTACAAAATTTTAAATTATTTGAAATTAAACATCAGAACTTTAAATAACATAAATCAAGGCAAACAGGAGAATTTTTTAAATACTCATACATGCTCACGTAATTAATTTTAATCACATCATTTATTTTGTAAAGTTGTAGATTCACATGTGGTTTTTAAAAATAATCCAGATGAGCCTTGTTTAGACTTCAGTTTCCCCAAATTGTAATATCTTGAAAAACTATAGTGCAATATAATAAATAGGATATTAACAATGTCAGAATCCACATCTTACTCAACTCTCTCCAGTCTTACTTTTTTTAATCATTTATATGTTTATGCAAATTTATCTCATGTGTAAGTTCATATATTCACCATAAAATCAATTTACAAAACACTATTATCACACAGGGATGCTTTGCATTGCCCTTTTATAATATATTCACTTGTCTTTTGCTTTCCCCTCCTCCTTCTTACAGCTGGGAACCCTCTAGTAGTTCTCCATTTCTATATATATTTTTCCATTTCAAAAATGTTATATAAATAAAATAACACAATATGCAGTCTTTATAAGTTAGCTTTTCCCACTTATTTATATTTACTAATTAAAGTATATTTGGCTGTTTCTGTTTTTTAACTATTATGAAAAAGCAATGAATATTTGTGCACAGATTTTTATGTGAACATAAATTATCATTTTCTAGGATAAATGGCCAAGTATGTAATTACTGGGCAGTACAGTCATTGCATGTTTAGTCTTTTTAAGAAACTGCCAATTATTTTTTCCAGGATGGCTGTACTAATTTATTAATGTAGCCTCCTCTGCTTTGTTTAAATTATTATTTGTGTAGTATCTGACTTTCCACCATTTAATTTTAACCAACCCATGTAACTGAATTTGAAGTCAGTTTCTTGTAGACAGTAAATAGATATGACTTTTTTTTTTAAATCCATTCTGTCAATCTCTGTCATTTGATATATTCAGGTCATTTATACTTAAAGTAATTAGTGATATATTAGAGGTTGATGTTGTTACTTTATACTATTTGTTTTCTATTTTTTCTGGTTTATTCCTTTTTTTATTTTTACTTTTTGCCATTGTATAGATTACCTAAATATTTTCCAGTATCCTTTCTTGATTTTGTATACTATTTTCAAATGTGATTGCTCTGGGTGTTGGAATATACATATGTGAATTATCAGAGTCTATTGGTATCAGCATTTTATTTGTTCAAGTAAGGTATGAAAAGCTTACTTGCAATCAGATTTCCTTTTTTTTCTTTTCTTTTCTTTTCTTTTTTAAGATGGAGTCTCGCTCTTGTTACCTAGGGCTGAAGTGCAGTGGTGCCATCTTGGCTCACTGCAAACTCCACCTCCTGGCTGCAAGTGCCTCAGCCTCCTGGGTAGCTGGGTTTACAGGTACCCACCATCATGCCTAACTGATTTTTGTACTTTTAGTAGAAATGGGGTTTTACCACTTTGGTCAGGCTGGTCTTGAACCCCTGACCTCAGGTGATCCACCCTCTTGGCCTCTGAAGGTGCTGGGAATAACATTACCTTGAGTATCAGATGGTATTGTAATTTCTGTTTACATATGATTAGATATGATATATAAAACTAATAGGAGAAATTTTATTTTATATATTAATATGTCTGTACTTTTCATTGATCTGTCTTGCTCTCAAATTTCCTTATTTTATCATTTCTTTTTTTTTGGTTGCTTAGTCATTATTTCATAATCACAAACTTAACTCTGCAATCCGGCTAGGCAAGGGAGGGAACAAGGAAAACATGGAACTCAAAGGATACTGTGAGCAAATGGGGTGGAGGGGTGCTCTGCTGAGCTATAGAAGGAATGGTCTGGTAGTTAAGATAAAACACAAGTCAAACTTATTAGAGTTGTCCGCAGTCAGCAATGGTGATCTTCTGGCTGGTCTTGCCATTCCTAGACCCAAGGCACTCCATGGCCTCCACTATATTCATGCCTTCTTTCATCTTGCGAAAGACCACATGCTCGCCATCCAACCGCTCAGTCTTGGTAGCGTAGACGAAAAACTGGGAACCGTTTTTGTTGGGTCCAGCGTTTGCTATGGACATGATGCCAGGACCTGTATGCTTTAGGATGAAGTTCTCATCATCAAATTTCTCCCCATAGATGGACTTACCACCAGTGCCATTATGGCATGTGAAGTCATCAACCTGACACATAAACCCTGGAATAATTCTGTGAAAGCAGGAACCTTTGTAACCAAATCCTTTCTTGCCAGTGCTCAGAGCATGAAAGTTTTCTACTGACTTTGGAATCCTGTTTGCAAACAGCCTGAAGGAGATGCGGCCCAAGGGCTCGCCTTTGAGGGCACTGTCAAAGAATGAGGTGGGGTTTACCATGGCTGATCATACAAGGCTCCAGGCAGTGGCGGTATCTGCAAAGCCTTATCATTTCTTTTTTGTAAAGAATTTTCTTTAGCCAATCTTTAAACGTAAGTCTTATGGCAACAAATTATTTTAGTTTTCTTGTATCCAGTATATTTTTCCTTTTATTCCTAATGTTTGTCATTTAAATCGTTCAAAATTAATAGATGTTTTGTTTTCCTTAAGTAATGTGTCATTTCCCTCACTGATTTTTAAGACTTGTTTTCTTTGTTTTTAGTTTTCAGAAGTTTAATTAGGATATTATATTGATATAAATGTATTTGGGGTCCACACAACTTCTTGACTCTGTTGCTTTATGTCTTTTGCCAAATTTTGGAAGTTTTCAGCCATTATTACTGCAAATACATTTCTAGCTCATCTTTTTTCTCCTCCCCTCAGGAACTCTGATAATATAAATGTGGGTCCTTCTGTCATTGTTCCACAGGTCCCTGAGGCTGTGTTCATTTTTATCAGCCTATTTTCTGGTTGGACCATTTTCTTATTGCTGTTGTAACAAATCTCCACAAATTTAGTAGAATAAAACAACACAGTTTTATTATCTTACATTTCTGGAGGTCAATATTTGACTTGGGTAACATCAAGGTTTTGGCGGGATTGAGTTTCTTCTGGAAGCTTTAAGGAGGATTACTTTTTCTCCTGTTTTCCAGCTTCAATGTCCATTTTCAAAGCAAAAAATCACATTTATATGACATCTGTTTACAACAACATATCTCCTCTGATCCTGAATCTCTTGGCTCCTTTTTTTTCCCCTTTTTAAGGATCTTTGTGATTATATTGAGTACACCCAGATAATCTAGTATAATCTCTCTATTTCAAGATCCATAATTTTATCACTTGTACAAAGTCCCTTTTGCAATGAAAAGTTACATATTCACAGGTTCCAAAGATTGAGACATGAATGAGGAACTATTATTCTGCCTACCAATATATACTCACTGGTCTCTAAATGTTTATATATGTTCCACATGCAAAATGCTCTCATACAACTCAGTTCCAACATTCCCAAAAGTTTTGAACCATTACAGCACCGAGTCCAAAAATCTCATGTAAATATCATCAGTTCAAAATTCCCAAATCTCATAATCTAAATCAATTATAAATGAGATTCAGCATAATGCATCATGGGACAAAACTTTTATCTATAAATTTTTGAAACTAGAAAAAATGTTGGTATTTTCTCCCAAAATACAATTGTGAGCCAGGCACAGGATACCATTTATGGGAATTTTCATTACAAAAAGAAGAAAATGGAAGAAAAATAAATCACCAATATCCAGCAATTTTGAAATCCAAAGTGACAAATTCCATTAAACCTGGGAATAATCTTCCCCTGGCTTTCAGCTTCATTTTCTGTCTCTTCCTTTTTAATGAAAAGGTAGCACATTTGCAGCTGATTAGTTTTATCAGATTGTTTCCTGCCTATATTATTTGGTCTTTTTTTTTTTTTTTTGTCTCTTTCAGTCCAAACTGACAGTGTTTCTGCTTGTATAATAACTAACTAAAAGCCCTTGTGGATCTCTCATACATGTCACAGAGATTCAGTCCATGAGAGAAGAGAGTGGTCCTATACAGATCTTTCCTGTGTAGTGCCATCTTTATTCTGGCCTCTGCTGATATGGCTGAAAAGATCCAGGAATCACATGCCTAATCTTTTCAAAGAGGTGTTTATGTGAGGAATACTTTGAGCTTTTGATTCTCCCAAGGTACTAGAAAGAGCTTTGAAACAAACAAACAAAAAAAGGCAGGCACATCCTTTGCTTTTTCTCCAGACCATGTTTTTAGTGAATCTCCCAATTTTATCATCTTTCACTGCCTTGATAGGCTGAACATTTCCCAAATAATGAAATACTTGATCCTTTTTGCTAGAGGTTATCTTTCTCAATTTATCTTCTTTCTTTTCTGTTTTGCCATAAGTAGCAAGAGTACATCAGGCCATACCTTAATACTTTGTCTGGAAGCTTCCTGAGCTAAATATTCAAGTTGGTTGTTTAATAACTTATGCTTTCCAAATAACTGGAGGACAAAATTCGGATAAGTTTTCTACTACTGAATAGAGTAGTCTGTAGATGTTTGTGAGGTTTATTTGGTCATATGCTTACTTTAGGTCCTGAATATCTTTGCTCGTTTTCTGCCTTCAAGACCTGTCTAACACTGTTAGTAGGCTGTTGAAGTCTCCCACTATGATTGTGTGGTTATCCAAGTCTCTTTGCGGGTCTCTAAGATGTTGTATTATGAAGCTGGGTGCTCCAAGGTTGGGTGCAAATATATTTAGGAGAGTTAAGTCTTTTTGTTGAATTGATCCCTTTACTATTATGGAATGCCTTTCTTTGTCCTTTTTCGTCGTTATTGGTTTAAAGTCTCTTTTGTGTGAAATAAGAATAGCAATCTTGCTCTTTTCTGTTGTTGTTTTCTATTTGCTTGACAGACCTTTCTTCACTCTTTTAGTTTGAGCCTATGGGTGCCATTGCATGTGAGATGGGTCTCTTGAAATGGCACACAGTTGGATCTTGCTTCTTTATCCAACTTGAAGCGGAATGTGTTCACTGTGATATTAATGGATCTTATCTTTTAGTATATGATGGAGATTTTTATTTTTCACTTTATGCAGTGTTTTTCTCTTTTTCATTAACATTTATTCATAGCTTTGGCATGGAAAGTTAACAGTTTACTTTTCTCTTTCTTTAGGCCATGTTAATGGTCATTCCAACACCATACTCTTCTGTAAGACATTTTACACACACTATCCAGTTTCTCCAACAGCTTGACTTTCTTTGCTATAGATAAACATAAATGCATCCTCTTTATCTTCTTACTGTCACACATAGAGATACCTGCTGGTCTTTTTGATGTTTTCAACAATATCTTTACACTACAGAGCAAGGAATACAACAAATAAACCAACAAAAAACACAGTGAGTAATACATATAGGTCTTTGCCTCCTGTGGAGCATAGTGGGGAACCTGCTGTTAGTGTGTCTGACCTGCACATGTGCCATTTTATGACCCTGTGTGGGGCTACTTGGGTCTGGGAATCTGTCTGTGCATGGAAAAGATGTATCACAGCCGCAGGGTGCTGAGGGAGTTCTTTTTTCCTCTTGGGATACTGAATAAACTGTGCATTGTGCATCTGTGTTTTGACTGTGAGCCACCACAAGTGGTCAGGTATGAAATTTCCCAGTTGTAGTGCCATGTTGGTGCTCAAAACTTTTGAATTTTGGAGGATTTCTGATTTTAGATTTTTAGGTTGGTATGCTCAATTTGTAGATCTGAAAACCTGTGAGTTTTAAAACATAAATCACACACATTTATATTTTTAATATAAATGTAGTTAACAAAAGATGAGCCAAAATTAATTTAAAATATCAGCATTACAACTATTCAGTGTTTACAAACTAGAGGATTGCTTTCAAAATATTTAATATGACCTAACATAACACAGAAAAATATTACTTATTAAGTAGATAAGTATATCATTAGAAGACAAATGTATTTTTTTCTGCTTTTGATTTTCTTTCAGTGCCTCTCTCTTTTCCTTTATTATTCTCATAATTCCATAGATAGGGTCTGAAATTTTCAGTAATGTGATTTATGAAGTCACAGTGTTCAGAGGTGAATGAATGACTGGGTGGACTGGTTGGAGTTCTGATGGCCTGAATTTATATTTTAAATCAATCTAAATCCTGACTGCATTTGATAACACCTATTGATTGTTACCTGATCAATATTAAATATTGGTGGTGAATGTTTTAGCTATTAAGTTTGGCAGGGAGTTCTAAGACAAAGGCAGCAATTCCCAAAACCTCCTAGTTTGTTGCTGCCAATTTCAGTGGTATTATACAGACAGATTATGTCAGGAGAATTAATATTGGTGGCAGAGGACATACCCTCCACTTCTTAGTCTCCTGAGATGGAGTAGGCTACGTTTCACTGCCATGCCTCACCTTCTCCTCTGCAACCTCCTTTCTTCTTCTGAAGTTAAGAAGTTTCATTTCTTCCAACTTGATAGCTGGATATCTGGAATTAGAAAGAAAGAGAATCATCATACCTATTATAAATTAATTTGCATTATATATTATTAACTTTAATATTTAAGTGATTTATAAATTTGGGAAGAATCACTGAGTTATTTTTCTTCATTCTGTCCTTTCTCTTGGGGCCAATTTTCTTGAAGGGAGAATTGACACATGTGCATTTAACAGAACGTCCAATTTAGATGTTTATGAATAGGTAACTGAGTCCTTCAGATTTAAGGCTTAGTATTTGCAAATTTACTTGTAAAATAGACTTAGAGTTATGTCCCTCAATTTGACCTCTTACAGAAAGAACAAGGACAACTTTTGGATAGATTTTCTAATTCTCTTAATAAAAGGTAAGTTTTATTTCTCAATTTTTTTAGAATATGGATAGTAATGAAGGATAATATAGTTACTTATTGGGTTATCCCTGAAGATGGTGTTATGTATAGCATACAATGCAATCAATAAGCAATGTTGGATCTCTTTATTTATCCCTGGAGACCTACTCCTTATCCTTTTCTGTGTTGATAATCTTTGGAGTCCTAATATATTTGGATGACATCAAGAGGCTCCCAGAGCCCTAAGCTTCCAACTGATGTCTACCAATAAGGATTTCCAATAAGAAAACTAAATGGAAGTAGTAGAATAGAGTCAGGATATGTATTTTCTAGTTTTCTTCCTTTATGAAGGCTCCATCTGGCTCCATCTCTTGATTGAAAGTCACTGCTCCTACCAAGGCATATAACCCCGCATGATTCTACACCCTTCTTGTTTTCAGTAACCATTCCTTCTTCTTGCCTGTGGAGTCTAGTTTGATAAGAGCTTTGTCTCTACCTATGGTTATTGTACTATCTCTTGTGGTTGTCCTACAATCATACCTTGGTAAATGTTCCTTTTGCTAATAAAACTCTATTGGACTATTGCGTTTTGCATGTATCA